ACAAGACGGAGGTCCTGTTGGTAGGTGGGACGGGCTTCGGGATGGGGGACCTGGACCTTGTCCTGAACGGGGTTGCACTCCCTCTTAGGGTTCACAACTAGGGAGTGCTCCTCGACCCAGAGCTGTCATTAGAAGCTCAAGTAACAGCGGTGGCGAGGAGCGCCTTCCTTCAGCTTCAGCTGATCTATCAGCTGCGTCCCTACCTGGAGAACGACTGCCTGGCGACTGTGACACATGCACTGGTAACTTCCTGATTAGATTTCTGTAACGTGCTCTACGTGGGGCTGCCCTTAAAGACGGTCCGGATACTTCAGTTGGTGCAAAATAGAGCTACCAGGTTGCTGACAGGAACTGGACATTGTTCTCATATAACCCCAGTTCTCTGTCAGCTTCACTGGCTCCCCATTGAAGTCCGGGCCCAATACAAGGTGTTGGTTGTCACCTATAAAGCCCTCAATGGCTTGGGACCTGGTTATCTAAAGGAGCGCTTACGTCCATATCTGCCTTCCCACCCCTTAAGATCAGCGGAGGAGCCCTCTGTGAAGGATATTAGGAGGGTGAGTAAGACTGGTGGAGGAGGGCCTTCTCTGTGGTGGCACCCCACCTATGGAATGTGCTCCCCAGAGAGGTCCGCCTGGCGCCGTCATTATTTGTTTTTCGGCGCCAGGCCAAGACCTTTTTATTTAAATGATATTTTAATTGTTAATTTGCTGTTCTTATTTATTGGTTTTAAATTATGGCCGAGATACTCCAAATTTTTAATGTTATCCTATTTTATGTTTTATCTGCCTTGTAAGCCGCCCCGAGGCTTTCTGCGATGGGTACGGCATAAAAATGTTATAAATAAATAAATAATTGTTGTTGTGGGGATAAAATGGAGCTATGTAAGCTGCCTTGGGTTACTCACAAGAAAAGGGGTAGGATATAAATGTAATACAATAATATAATAATACCTCGTTTGTTCACAACCTTGTGTCAGTGTTCAGTTTCTCATATGCATTTATGGCACACATATAGCTGGTCCCACAATTAAAGCAATGTTAGTCCACAAATGCAGACATTCAATGTACAGACGGAAATGCACATGATGTTCTGATATGAATACCAGTGCATGTTGTTGTTTTAGGAGAACTCATATGTAATTGTTTTTCAGGAATCCTATTACTTTGTTTTAAACAGAAAGATGACTGTTTTACTAGGAATTTGTGCAGTTTGGAGGTGCCTACCTACAAATGGATATTGAAGGTCAAAATTTTCCTAGCACTTGAAACACTAGTTATAATTAGCTACCAGACTGCTGCATGGAGAAACAGGTTTTACACTTTGAATTGAGTAGGCCCACAATGGGTTTTGCAGTTAACTGGCACACAGACACAAATACACACATCAGCAGAACTGGAGGTACAAACATTGCTTCTTTGGGGAACATATGGCGCTTTCCTACTCCTTGCCCAATATGTCTATTTTCAAACAGATATTACAAAAACACCACAGATCTCCAGTGCTGTCTCCTCACAAGAAAACTAGCTGTATAAAACATTTTTTCCCTGAGCCTTCCTACAAAAAATGGCTAACTTTCCCAACAGGAAAAATAGGTTTTCTCTTACGTAAATCCTTCTGCACCTGAGAACCAACATGGCACAGTTTTTAGACTTTGGAGCAGGGACAGAGGAGATCTGGGCTGTAGTCCCCACTTGGTCATGTAGTTCATTGATGTTCATGGGTCAGTCATTGACTCTCAATCTAACCTATCTCAGAGCTGCTGGGAGGACAAAATGAGGGGAAGAGAAGGCTCACTGAAGCCACCTTGATCTCCTTGCATGTAAAAGGTGGGATATAAATATAATTAATTAATTGAGCAATCTTTGTCCTAGTAAAAAAATAAAGGGAAATGACCAAACATGGTATTTAGAACTCTCTAAACGGCGACAGGGAACCCCCAATTCATGACAGGCACCCCTTCCTGGCTCCAACCCCTTTTCTCAGTCTGCCATCTGTTCTTCCACCAGTTGAGCACTGAGTTTCCTTGCTAGTCTGGGAGGAAGAGAAGCATCCTTACTTATAACCAGCACAGAAAGATACATGCGCCAGTTTCTGACTCTTCGGTTACTAGGAAAGGCCACCATTTCAGTCTCAACTGTATACAAGGCCACCATTCTCCTCTCTGTTTTTGGCTGGCAGTTTCTAAATGTGAATGGCTCTAGATCTTGTTCTTTAATAGGACTAATGAAGCCTCAGAAGACAGCTGCTATCTTTAATAAGGTTAACAACTAATATAGCAATCAGACTAATTTCTTGTCATGCCGCTGATAAGTTGCATATGCTAACAATCGTCAGTGTATGCAAGTTGAAGTACTTGGCCAACACTGAAATCATCATACTCCTCAAATGCTTGGCAAATCAGCACATAAGCACCAATTCACATTAGTGAGAGTGCGCATTAGCACTGGGTGTGCATTAGCACAAATAGAATGAAATCCTGCTTAAAAACATCCATTGCACAAATGAGTGAATGATGATACACAAGATTCTTGATGACCCATGTAACATAGGCAGAAGGAATTTAATGAAATCTGTACATCCCTTCTGGGAGGGGGGAATAGTACCTTTCTTTGCCTTCCACTGCTGGGGAGAGATTGTGCTACAGCAGGATCATCACACAGGGCAAAGAGCGCAGTGGCAGCTCCGACACCAAGGCCCACTTCTATTTCTCCCTTCCCGTGCTTTTCTGTGCGGAGTGCTCTGCCCTGGCACTGGGGAGGGCAGGCTGGTCTAAAGGCAATCTGCCCCCTATATGCAAGCTTGACTTGTAAGAGTGTCCCATCCCATTTTCTGTTCATTTTTCAAAGGAAATAACTGCACAAATATGGTCAGTTGTTTTCCAAAAACATGTTTAAACAGTACTTTGGTGTGATCTAAGAGGGGCTGAATTTCTCTCTTTTTAACAGCTACTGGCTGCTGCTCTCTCATGTATGTTAAAAAAGTGGCTGCACTGCACCCCAAAAGCAACGCGAGCAAAGGACAGACTGTTAACTCTTACAGTTAATACTGTTAATATTGTATGAAAAGAACAAAGTATGTCCCTATCAGCAATTCCCCATCACATTCCATCACTTCCAGGACTTTGAAGGATAGGCTCACTTATCCCTCTGTATCTGGCATGCACTTTGAAGGTTGGGCTCACTGATCCCTTTGTAGCCAGTCCCCCAGCTGCTGGAGTGCTTTGGGACTGGTTGCTTATGTCTGGAGAACTGCGTCCGGCTGGTTATCATTCAAAGCAGAGCGGAGGGCCATGTGCTTCAGTGTCTAGGGTTGCTTTGGGGCCAGGCTGCTGGCTGCAGAAACAAGGAGAAAGGGCACCAGGCACATAAGTCCCCTTGTGTAAGCTCTACATTTGCCCAGCATACAGCTGAAAAGATACAGCCCAACAAAGAAAAGGAAAGCAGCATCAGCCTATGCGTATTTTCTGTGTTCTCTGCCTTCCTCCAGGCTAACAGGGCACAAACAATGGTCACCCTTGAAAGGCTTGCTATCACCTCGACCATCTGCTGAAGCAAGAAAGGTCCCTCTGTTACCCTGGTGGTTTGCTGGATGCTGTCATCCTTCCTGCTTCCAAAAAAGGTCCTGGAGCAGCACACACACCTTTTGATTAGACAAGCACTTACACCTTCTCTTCCCATTGGCCATTTTCTTTGGGACCACTCTGTGCATTGCAAGCTGGCTTTCAGGAGAGCACACTTGATAAACCACCTGCCCTCCATGCATGTTTGTCCGCAAAGGGCTGTCTTCTAAATTCCTTCTGCGTGAAAAACATGCACGCGTGTGCACACTTGCACGTGTCTTGAGCCACTTTCAGCTCAATCCCATCAAAAATGTTCGAACATCAGTGGGTGACAGTAAAAGCATTCCTTCTGCAGCATCAGCATTCTGTATATAACCCCTGTAGCTATTTTGTGTTATTTTTGGAGCTTGGTGAAAGACCAAGCATGGGATAAACAAAGTGAAAAAACAATGACCTTGGGTTTTTTGCTTTGTTTTTTCAGAAACAATTATACTAGTCTTGCTGCGCTTAGAAACCAAAGCCAGTCACTAGTGACACATGGAAGTTTTCCAGCCCTATTCCAATGAGGTCCAGAAGCTTCCATAAGAGTGGCAGATTTTGTTTGCAAACAGCACAACAGCTGCTTCTGGGATGCAGCTGATCTTGCGATATTTAAACTGACAGAGCCGCAAAATCCTAATTACCACCACCACCACCACCACCAGAAGGTGTGCATGTAATGCTTTAAGCCACAAGTATCTCAAGGATTATCATTCAGATGTAAGAATTAGAATGGTGCGGTGCATACACTTGAAATGAACACACTTGTACTAAAACCTAGCTATCTTCCCTGGTTTAGATCCAAGTATCTGCCTTCCAGGAGAGAAAGGGCCCCGCTTGCAGGGACCCTCTGCTAGGTCCTTCTGCCTGATTTTAGGTGATCTCTCCCTGCCTCCCCCCCCCCCCCCCCCCCCCCCCCCCCCCCCCCCCGCCCCCAGCAAACACACACAGCACAACTCGTCCCATTCAGCTGGGTTTCGACTCTTTGTGTAGCGTTTTCAGAGAGATGAACAGGCTGCCTTGGGAAGGGGCAGCCGATTTCCATCTGTATAATTGATCCAAGGCATATGCGGATCCAACCGACTCCGGTTAGCCCCTTTACCCAGAACCAGCGGCTTCTAGGTTTGCCGCCCTAACGTTCCATAGAGGAAAAGTGAAATCCAATCCAATGCACGCAAATTGGAGATTTCAAATTGCCCTACTTGCAAATCAGGAATTGGGAGTCTGACCGATAAGGCTACTTGAGGCTTTCGGGCCATTTGGGGTTCTTGCTGCTGTTCTTTTCCAGAGGTTATCTCGACCTTTGGGCTTTTCTGTTTCTGGAGGCTAAAACATGAGTCACACGGATCTGCACCTATTGTCCTGCAGGCGTAATTGCCATTCCGACTAGTCGTTTTACCTGTCTGAGCCGGAAACGGCTGCAGGTTGCTGCACCGGCTGCACTCCTCTCCCCGACTTTTCTGGCATGGCTGGTGGAGGTCCTCCGTGTCCTGCAGAGGGATCATGGCTGGGTGCGCGGCAGTTCCCCACGCAGCCTCCGGCGCTGAAGGGCTCTACAGGACGGGCGCCGCGCCTCTGCTGTCAAAGCGGGCGCCGCTCGCGGCGGCCCTGAGCATGGCAACGCGCTGCGCGAGCGGAGCCAGCTCTGAAAGTTTCCGAGAGGTCCACAACTTTTCTTTCTGTTTTGGCAGGCTTGGCCCTCGGCGGTGACACAGGCTGTTGCTATTCCGGGGCAGCCTATCGCGAGCGAGCGGGGAGGCGTATGCTGCGGAGCATTGTCTCCGCCACCGAGCCAATCGGCGGAGACGGCGCGGCTGCGCAGCGCTGAGCGGCGCGCGGGAGCCCGCGCTCGCGCTCTCCTGCGGCGCCGGGACGCGCTCGGTGCCGTGCTTCGCCTGCTTCTCGCTCCCTCTTTACTCGCCTTTTTCGGTCCCTTGTTCCTCTGCAAAAAGAACGTAAAGCAGATGCTGAAGCAGCAAAAGGGGGGCACTGAGCAAGTTCCGAAGAGCTCGCCTTGGTTCTTCACCGAGTTGGAAGGGGCTGTGAAGGCCCCGCTCTTGCAGGACCCCAATTTACACCGCTTGTGCCGCTACGAATGAGCACGAAAGGAGGAACGCAGGGAGGGTGGTGGTTCAAACCTGGGCAGTTTCTAAAACAGGCTTTTGATCATCTGTGCCACATGCTCTGTCAAAAGAAAGCAGAACCCCCAACGTGAGAGGAAGATGGGTGTGCTTCATCTGCAGACAGGAGACCTGATTTGAGAAAGATGCTACTTCCACGGTGCCCGTCCTGTGCTCTTGTGGTGTGCACAATCAAGCAGCCCACTGTGGCTTTTCTAAGCTGCAGTTGCGACTCAAATATTCAAAATGGCACCCACAGAAGTTGCACCCATGGGAGGTGCCATTTTGAATATTCGAGGCATGGCTGCAGCTTGCCATGTCGTCTGAATCCAGCAAGGGTGGGTAGTTGGCATGGTCAAATTGAAGAAACAAATCTTGTTAAAACAAACCTGGTAGCAACCTACCCTTGCCAGGCCGAGACAAGAAAGCAGGCTTGAATATGCTAGGTGCCCAGCAACATATTCTGAAGTGTGCCTAGCCTAGCAAAAAAGGAAAGGGTACCCTGGAGGTTTTGCAGAGCATCCTCTAGAGCTGGGGGTGGAAGCAGCATTGTAAATAAACCACAGGGAGTGCAGTGATTGTGTAAGCAAGGCCCCAGTCACCTCTTGTGAGGTTGCATTTGTATCTGCAAATACTTCCAGAAATGTAAGCGAGACGAGTACACAAGACACCATCCTATCCCTGCATGCAGCATTTTTACAGGTCGATGCACACCATGGTTGCATGCAGTAGTTGCTAGGACTGGACCTTGGGATCATAGTCCAGGTCCCACAGGAGCACCCAGAGAGTGGCAGCTGATGAGGAATCAGACGCAAACATCATTTGTAACTGTGGCTGTTATTATATTACATTTCTATACCACCTATAGCCAAAGCCCTCTGGGTGATTCACAACATTAAAGACTCCCATCCAGATTTCAACCTGACCTTGCTTAGCTTCCAAAACTAGGCAAGATGAAGCACTTAAGGCTATACAGAAGTTTCTGTGTCTGGATATGATGGTGCCATGATTTAAGTGAATTTAAACAGCAAAACAGCAAATGTTCAGAGGTTGCTTTAGATGGCAAATGGTTTTGATGCTCCAGCTTTAGCACCACATAGAAGCAGCTTTAAAGCATGACATGGTGGCTGCAGGGAAGAAAACTTCCTCCTGCAAGTAGTGCACATGGTCATCTGAAAGGGTCCTCCATAAGACCATGAAGTCTAGGCTGTAAAGTTAACTCATTGCATCACTGGTCACACAAATTCTCTCTCCCTCTCTCTCTCACAAACACAAAAGCACTGAACCAAGTGATTCCCAGGGAAGTCAATAACAACACCAACAATAAAACGATGCAAGCTGGAATTTAAAAAATGAGAGCCAGTCTGGTGTGGTGGTTGATAGTGCTGGGCTGGGACTCAGGCAATCTGGGTTCTAGTCTCCACTCAGCCATGCAGCCAACTGGGTGACTTGGGGCCAGTCACAGACTCTCAGCCCAACCTACCTCACAGGGTTGTTGTTGGGAAGATAAGACTGAGAGGAAGAGGAGAATTATGTAAGCTGCCTTGAGTTCCTTGAAAGGAAAAAGGTGGGATATAAATATAATATAAATAGAAGCAGATGATAGAAAAATAGCTATCAGCAATTACAAGTGCCACAGCTTGAAAGGCCTATCAAGATGGCCAGTGGTAGCCAGGTGAGCCACTGAAAAGTCCCTCTTTCTGGTTGCCACTAGTCTCAGACAGGTGGAAAGACAGCCTCACACCCAGAGGAAAGTCTCACTTGTCAAACTCAAAAAATAAGCCAGTTAATGTGCACATCCATTCTCTACATACATTTGCCCACCAGAGTAACAGGCATTCTGCTAGACCCATATATGAAGGGTCTTCAAAAAGTTTCTGCACTTTTATATTTTATAAATATATGTTATATGTTTTTTGCTGATGGCTTTAAAAAGTTGGTATGACGTTGGGAAAGATGCATCACAAAGGAAGGTGACTATGCAGAAAAGTGATGTAATTTGTTTTTGAATTCTTAATAAATAGAGTTTTAAAAAGTGAGGAAACTTTTTGAAGAACCCTCGAATTGCCTGAGTTTAGGGGTTGGGTCATACTTCCACCTTCAGCTGTAAGAATGCATCAGAACATGGGATGAATATATTTGTCTACCAGCCTCACTGCAAATGCAACAATGTGTATTGAGGTGTGGGACCCCAGTGGGTTGCCTCTGGTCACTAATGTACCTGTAGACATTTTTCACGCATCCTCTGGACTCCCTGGCATTGTCGTCATCGTAGTCGTGGTCATCATCATGGTTTTAAAGGTTTTTCTTTAGCTGAAGACTGGTGGGGAAGGTTGTAAAACTACCTGCTGACCTCAAGCACCATCCAAGTGGACTCCCAAGGCATTCTTAAAAACTAGAAATGGGGCATGGCTAGAGCCCAGCACTACATTTTGATGCATGCCCAGCAAAAAAAGCAGGGGGGGAGGGAGGGAGGGGAGGGGTAAGCCAAAGGTCTAGAGCAGCAATGGAGAACAAGACCGAATGCCCAAACTGCAATCTAAAACCCACTTATTTTATCGCAAAGTGCCAACACTGCAATAAAACCTGAATACTGAGGTTTTAGTTTAGAAAAAGCAACTCACAGCCAGTCCAAGCAAATATATATAAATCCTTGGCAGCACACTGACTGGCCATGCGAATGCTTGGATGAGTCGTGGCTCATGACGTCATCACCTGGCGCCGCTACTCCTTCCCAAGCATCCGCATGGCCCCTGTGTGCACTGCTCTCCGATGCTCGGCTGCTGGGGCGACTTGGCTCACGTGCCAACCGAGAGGGCTCTGCGTGCCCGCTGCGGCACACATGCCATAGGTTCACCACCACTGGTCTAGGGCATATCCACTAGAGTTGAGGGTGCAAAGGGCATCTTAGAAGGCTTGAGAGGATGACAGAGAGAGAGTATTTTGCTTGTACCAGGTGTGTGTGTTTTGCTTGTGTATGAGTTTACTTGCTTTCTTCTGTATTTTGCCTGTTGTGTGCCTGTTTCTCTGAGCCTCACCAGTTTGCTCTCTGTGAAAAGAGTATCTGATCTGCATTAATTGGACATCTTGCCTGGTCCTGATCTTCACCATCTTCCCTTTTGCAAAAACAGCTGCTGGAACAGAAAACTGGATTCAAAAGAAAGTTTTGTCTTATAGAGGTCAGGCCACACCTCTGCCTTATCCTTAGGTTCTTGGGCATGTTACTTTTCTCATAGCCTCACCAGTTTGCCATCTGGGTAATGGGTGTTTTGTTCCTGGTAACAGCCACTATGGCAGCCATTTTGAGAATGGGCAGTGTGCACCCATGGCATCTCTTTTGTGGCAGCATCCACACCGTGCAAAATTTAAGCATGACAAAACATTGGGGATCACTTCAGTCAAACTCACATGGCAGTAATAGAGACCTGGGGCTCTGTCCTTACAATCACTCAAGGCCTTTCATCTGTGAGCAAATCTAAAGAAGTCAGGTGCACATGCTCCATGTGACTTTTGGTGTGCCTTTACTAACCATCCTAAATCCAGGTCATCAGTGTTGCTCTAAAGTTCAGCACAATGCAGGCAAAGTCCTGGCCTGGAGCAGGCTGAAGCAGCTCAGAGTCACAACATGTACTTTCCGCACTAATATGCTTTCGTGTAAGAGATTCTGATTCCAGAAAAGGGCTTCCTCCAGTATCAGAGGCAGTTTGCTCATGCACACCAGTTGCTGGGGAACTTGGTTGGGAAGCTGCTGTCGCGTCTTGTTCTGCTTATACATTTCCAGTGGCAGCTGCTTGGCCACTGAGTGTAGCATCCACCCAGCATCAGTTGCTGAACAGATTGCAGGATTCGACAGCAGCAGCCTTCTGGTGAAATTAAGCAGTGGATAAGCAAAGTGAGGAGATCAGCAGTCAAGTGAAGAGGAGGCATCAAAATAAACCAGATGCAGCTGTTTATTTGATTCATAATCATTTGATTCTGCAGCCTTTGTGATCTCATTATTTCACATGGCTTTTCAATTCAAGTCCAATTCAAAGGCATGTTCATAGTTATAAACGCATTTTCTCTGTATATATTGAGGATATTTGTGCCCATGTTACTTTGAAAGTTGTGGTCTTTTCCTCACCCAACAATAAGAATGGATTACTTTTCTTAAAATCGACACAGTCACGTTCCGAACAAAATCCATTCTTTTGCCATTAGCATTGCACAGAAAAGCAGGGCATATGTAACCCAGTCCCTGGAGGGAACCCATTCATATGACACACTGAGTGAAAAGCTGAGCCATCAACATTATTCATGTGTAGCTGAGATCCTAATGTGGAAGGAACTAGAAAGGGCTCTGGCTGCACTGAATGACAAAACAAACAGAGGGACAAACGAACAGA